AAGAGCAACAAGTGCTCTTAACCTCTGAGCCATCTGTCCAGCCCATCAGCATTGAGTCTTAAGCTGAAAGTTCATCTACAATTATCTCAAAATAAAAAAATGTTCAATTAAAAATGAAATGTTTATTGAATATAATAATAGGCTATTGCTAGTTACCTCTTTCACAATTATCTCATTGAAGTGGTGGGAACAGATGTCTAATTGGTAGAGATTGAAAAATAGTGGGGAAAAAAACTACTGAATAACTGAATAAATTATTCCATCCAGCTGTTATAGGGCATTTTCCTCCATGTTGTAACATTCCCTCCAAATTGAAACATTTATGCCAGGGAGGTGATGCTCATGGGCCTCAAGGTAAACAAAAGGTCACATGTCCTTGAGAACAAAAGCTTAGATATTTTTTATTCATTTTTTATACAATATATTTTGATCATGTTTCCCCTCCCCAAAACTTACAATATTCTTGTTTTCCTCTCAACCTCCCACAACTACCCAGGAGAATAAAAACAGTAAACAGTTACTGGGGGTGGAGACCCTGAACAGCCAAACCAGGGAAAGAAAGAGCTATTAGCAACTTTGAGTTGCTGGCATGCTGTATAGAGAGTTCCGGAACTGCGCTGTCATCTGTATTAGTGAGTGTTTTAGTAATGCAGATGCCTTTAAGTTATCCCTGTTCCCTACAAGTAACCACTCACACATATTCCCGATAGTAACACCACCAACAACAAAAAACTCTCTTTTCACCAAATTGGGCATTAGTATAATCTCTACTTTGGTTCATGGTACCTCTTTCTGGAGTGAGTAAACATGTATGCTACATCTCCCCAGGGGGGAGAAAGAAGGGGTGGTCTATCACACAATGCCAGGTTAACAGACGTTAACACTTGGTACAGTGATGAAAGATTAAAAACAGTTGCTAGGAATGGGAGATGCCTGGCCAAGTAAATGCCTTATGATAGGGAAATAGTCAAACAAGTGCAGTGGTAACACTTTAAGCAAGGGTGTCCGGGAGTGGAGATAGGAGGAGAGCGCAATAATTGAACTACAATAGCTATTTGTACAGTTGAGGAAAAGGAGTTCAAATGGCTTCAACATCCTTTAGGACATAAGAATTTGTGCCACTGTATGGTGGAGGGTTAACATGAGTGGGTTAACAAGATGAGACTGGTGCAGTCTCATGTTTGGAGAGACCTAAAGCTGACACTAAAGACTACATATTTGGCATTTGGAGGACCATGAGATAATGATACACTCACAGCTACATTCATTTGTCCCCAGATCCTTATTGGATAGGAAATAAGTAAAAGAGAGAACACTGGGACCCCGTGTGCCTAATTGCAGACTGAGAGCATATGTTGGGCGACTCAAGCATTGTTGGCAGACTTGGGTCTCAGTGGAATTGGAGCTCAGCTCATTAAAGGTCTAGCTGTGCCTAGAGATGCTAAGTGACTGGGAGTGGTTAGAATGCAGAAATCTACAGATCAGAGAAGTCACAGTATATGGGCAGTGTCTGTCATGCCACTCAAGCTACAACCAGGACTTGAAACATTAACAAAGTCTGTGAGCTGGTCTTTACAATAAGATTTTTTTAAATGTCTACTTGTCTCCAGGCTACTTGTCTAGCAATGAGCTGTGTATTTGGGTAGATTTTTAACCTTCTCTTTGTTTTATAAGGATGGCAAGAACATGTATCTCCGAGAATTCGTGCAACTATTAAGTTAAATAAAATGTACATAAAATTTGTAATGATACCAGATACTTTAGAATAATTCCATATGTGTCAACTGCCATTGTAATTATTACAAAGATATTATAGGAGTAAGCAAGCTCTGTTACATGGCTGCTGTCTATAAACCTCTATTAAAATAAATATATAAGACCAAATGAACCAAGCAGTATGTGTGTATGTATAAGAATAATACTTAAAAAGTAAGAGGTCATAGTTTTGAGAAGGAGTTAAAGGGATGTGGGAGTAATTGGAAGTGATTACTTTTAACTCTTCAGGAGGTCTCTTCATTCAATCAGAGGAACTCACTTTCCCCTACTTTATTCCCCATTATTTCACTTCATCTCATCCCTTTAATTCTGTGTCCTTATTGATGTGTACCCTACCTGATTTTTCTCTTTGATAACAAGTTGTTTCATCCCTATATTCAACTGAGCATTTTCCCAGTTATTCTATACAGTCAAGCCTCCTTACTCTAGACCAGTCGTTCTCAACGTTCCTAATGCTTCAATCTTTTAAGTTCCTCATATTGCGGTGACCCCCAACATTAAAATTATATCATTGCTACTTCATAACTGTAACTTTGCTACTGTTATGAATCAGACTGTAAATATCTGACATGCAGGATATTTGATATGCAACCCCAAGGAGGTCATGACCCACAGGTTGAGAACCATTGATATATAAAGGACTACTATAGAGTCCCATATATCATCCTTTTCTCCTCATTATACATCCATCACCTTCTCCTATTACTACGTGTTGCCTTCGTTCTCTCTTTACCTTCTCACCCTTCTCCTTACATCATCCTCTCCTCTTTATTCCCTATAACTCCTCCCCTTATCTCATGTCATATGCTCCTCTTAACTCCCTGGACCCTTCCTTCTTATCCCTTGTCATCCTCTCAACTTTATTCACCTTCACCTCCTCCACCTTACCCCATACCACCCTGTCTTCTTAATTCACCACTCTCACTCCCCTTTATCCCATGCCGTATCCCCTTTACTATATATCATGCTTCCCTCTTGTCCTAGATTATTCCCTTGTCTTCAGACACTATTATCTATTCTCTTTATTTCATATTTCACTTTCTTTACATCACATCACTCTCTTTATCCTATGTCATGCCCTCCTGTTTTTCCACTATCTTCTCCTTTTTTATCCACACAGGAGCTTCCTCTCTATCTACAACCACCCCACAGATAACAGGTACCCTGTTACCTCCTCCCCTTTGTTCCCTATCATCCTTGCATTTTATGTAGTCATCCCCTCTTCCATATTCTTAATCATCCCCCGTCCCATGTCATCCTATCTTCTTTATTTTCTATTGTCTTACCTTCTCACCCCATATCACTCCCTATTCTTTACCCATTATAGTGTATTCCCTTTATCCAGTGCCACCCCTTTCTCTTTATCCACAATCATCCCTTACCTTTATACTGTGTCATCCCTTCCTCTTTGTTACCCATCATCTTTCCCTATTATGCCATATAATCCCCCTTGTCTATTCCCTGTCACCCCTGATATCCAATGCCATCCCTTCATCTTTATTCTCCATCACACCTCCTCCTTACCCAATATCAACCTGTCTTCTTTATACACTGTCTATCCCCTTCATCCCTTGCCACCTCTCCTCCTTATTCACCATTATCTTTCCCCTTTATCCCATGCCGTTTACTCTTCTCTATCCTTAGTCACCCCTTCTCCCTATACCTTCCTCTTTATTGCCTGTCATTATTTCCTATTAAGCCATGTCATCCCCTCTTCTTTATTCCCTGCCACCCAGTTATTCAGTGTCATCCCCATTGTTTTATTCCCCATCCCCACTCTTTACCCTATACCATCACTTCTTTACTTAACCTCCTTTCTTCCCTTTAACTTATGCCATCTCCCTTTGATTCTCCATCACCTTTCTCCCTTACCCCGTATCATTCTCTCCTCTTCATCCAGCATCAGCTCTCCCATTTATTTCATATATCTTCTTTATACTCCTTAACGCTCTTCATCCCATCTCATGCTCCTTCTTTATTCCCCATCACCCCTTATCTTGTATCACCCATTCCTCCTTTTTTTATTCCACACCCCCTCCCCATTTTATATCACGCCATCTCTTCTTCTTCATTTAATACCAACCCCTCCCCTTTATTCATCTTTCTTGTCTTAGTTCCAGCTTCAAATCTTCACTTGGAGCTTCCCAAATTTCAGCCCCCCAAATTGTAAGTGAAAAAAGCCACACTGTACACAGTGAATATGCTGCTATCACAACACAGATGTTTATTGATGATGAAATGCCAGAGAAGTTTTAACAATCACAAATCTTCGAGCTTGGTGGTTGTTATCCATTGTATGATCAGTTTCTAGCCCTCAATACAATACATTCTTCATTCTAAGGACCTTAGCTCTTGTTATCCATAAGTATCAGTTATAAATTGGATGTCATAATAACCCATATCTGTGTTTTGCCAGAGCAAGTCCCACAAATTTGTGCCGTCCTGCATAGAGGATCTACAGGGATGATAAATAAGAGTGTTTGTAATCAGGTGATTTTAACTACTTGGAACTGTGTCTGTGCCTAACTAGTTCCTTTGCTGACAACAGGGGTGTGAACACCAGCTGTCTTTAAAACAGGTCCAGGACTAAAATCTATTTTTTCTAACTTTTGACCCCAAAAAAGCTATTTAGACTTATTTGAGGTCTCCCCATTGGCATGTCCATTGGTCTAAATAATTTGAGGGGAAAAAAATTCTGAGGCAGTGGATTTGCTGCAGGGACACAATTTAGCATTAATTGTTTGCCAACTGTCAGTAGGCTGACCTAACGTTCTAACATGCTTCTTGAGGGCCTTTCCAGTGAGCTCTTAGGAGGGGGGTAGGAAAGTCAGGATAAGCATGCAATCCCCTTGGGGAGAGGGAAAGCACCTCGAGATTTGTGAGCTTCTCTGGGAAAGATGTTTACCACAAATGTAACATCAATTAAAGGAAGGGGCTGCTGTAGTGAGAGAAAGCCGGGATCAGGGTTAAAAGAGAAGGCAAGGTAGCACCAGGGAGCCTGGGCATGACACAGAAATATCTCTGCTTTTACCAGCTGAAGATACCAAGCATCCCCAGTAATGGGGCTGGCAGTGTATTTGGAATTCCCATCCTGACCCGAGCATCAGGTGGAACTCCTTCTTAGCCTTAGTTCTTTGTCTTCAAGACTCTTTACTGTTTCCTGTGACATTCCAGCTCTACCCCACCCTTTTCCCCTGTCCGGCATCTTATAGAAGGGAAAACATCTAAGGAAAGAAGCGGATGCCAGATTTGCCCTTCTTCTCCCGGGGCAGACGGAAAAATGGGCGGCTTGCATTGGGGCGGTTACCGACTCCTTCCTTGTTGTCACCGGGACCGGCAGTGCTGGCAGCCACAGTGGGCTCCTCAGAGGAACCTAGAAAATAATAACACTGTTAACTTCTTAGTTTTCTAAACTTCATACTTTGCTAATAGCTCCAGACACTAAGACCTAGTTTTGAGTTTCAAATACAATACAAGGCAAAGAAGCAGAGCTGGAACTTCATTAAAATTGATGTCTTCTTTAGAGTCTAAAATCCCATTAACTTCTGGATATTGTCATGGTTTGGGATCTCTTCCTCATCTGAGGATTCATCATTTGGGACTTAATAAGCTGCTGGGATCTCTTCAAATTTGGGAACTTCTTCTGAATCTTGGGATTCATCATTATTTGGAGCATTTACATTATCTGGAATACCATTAATGACTGGGACTTCATCATTACCTGGGATTTCATCAGCGTCTGAGTCAGTATCTTCATTGTTTGGAACTACATCAAGATAGGGAACCTCTGCAAGATCCAGATGGTCCTCATCTTCAAAATCTGATTCATCTTCAAAGTCATAGCTCAGGTTATCTCCGAGGTCATCCTGCACAGCTGGGGCTCCTTCGGGGTCTGAAACAACATGAAAATAAGGTAAGTCTTCAATGTTTGGAGTCTCCATGAGTTCTGAGATTTCATCAAGTTCTAGAATATTCCCAAGAGGAGGTAGATCAAAATTGAGGGTGTCATCACCATCCTCACCACCACCTTTCATATCCTTACCATCATCTTCTTTATCAAACTCTGGTATGTCCTCAAGATGTGTGCCATGAATATAAAGGTCTTATGGGATTTCAAGACCTTGAACTTTCCACAAAACAACTCACTAATTGAAATATTTAAATACTAACTCTTCATTTACAGATATAACATTTTCAGGGCATTCACCTTTCAAGGGGCTTATCTTCAACACAAACCTAGCTCTCTGTGAGGGCTTGGCCTTCTGCAAAGGACTGACCATTGGGAAGGGCCTGACCTTTAGAAGGGAACTGACCTTCATCAAAGGGCTGGCTCTGAGCAAGGACGGCAGCCTGGGCTTCAGCAGAGTTTTCCACTGGATCAGAAAGTAAAGCATCCTCTTCCATCTTTATGCGAGCACTCCTGAATGAGAAAAAAAAATGAAGAAGTTAGTAGGTTTGCCACAAAGTTTGTTAACACCAAGATAGTGTGAAACTATAAGCTCTATAGGGTAAACATAAATAAGCCAGGAAGTTAAAATTTCACTCACTGGATCTTCCGCAGATTCCGGCGTCTGATAAAATCCAGAGCTTCAGGGCTGGATCTCCACACACGCTTAGCAACCTCCTTCTGAATATGGGGGGGCACCTGAAAGTAAAAGTAGTAACCTTAATTGCATATCCCTTTTCATTTATACTGATCTTTATTGGATATTCACTACTGAAGTCATTGTGATCAGCAAATGGAGGATTTTCTCATCTTGGTTATCCACATGGAGCTCTCCCTTGTTTTGTGGACAGAAGAATGTGTGGAATAAGTGTATTCAAAAATCCCTAGTTACCTGGAAGAGGATGTCCCAGTTATCAATCATGGCACGGACCACATTGACAGATGCAACATAGTGATCAATCCCCAGTTTAATCTTCCTGGATTCCTTACTGGCCAACTTCCCTTTCTTCAGGAGAGTAGTTCCAAACACCAAGGCCAAGTTGGTGGAAGTCATCCGGTTACCTGGAACCTAGGTAAAAATGTGTGATCAAATTTGAAGCTATGCAAATAGATGCATAATCTTTTTATTGTTATATTTTCCATCTTTACTCACTTTACAACCATCTTATTTTCACTACCCTTTCCCATAATTTTTTTTTACCAGCTGTCCATCAATGCCAATAGAGTCTTCACAGTTCTCGGTGATTTTGTGCAGTGCCTTCAGCAGACGTTCAAGGGTATCACTGTGGCAAGGTGGCATCAGGTAGACCAGAAGCTGCAGGGCAGAAACCTGATCCTTGGGTTTCAGAGCTAGAGGAAGAAAAATGGGGCTGGTTTAGAGGGCTAGCCTTGGCAGCAACCTGATACCAAAAGAAAAATATTTCTGCTTCATGGTTGCTAGTGACTGGAAAAAGTACCCTGGCAACATGCTTTTTGCTTCCTCACAAAACATCTGACGGGGATCAGGATCTCTAAAAGCAAGACGTGCCATTCTCAGCCTCAAAATTAAATCTCTATAAAGTCTGGGTTCTTCTTTGCCCTAAAGGGCACATCTAACAACTTCCAGAAGCTTAAGAGAAATTTTCAAGCAACAGATTTTTAAGGGATCAGCAAGAAACACAAAAAAGCAACCAGGAGAAGGTTTTATTAATGTTTTTATTTTCATTAACAAATAATGACTATGTATTCTGGAAAGATATATTTCATATTCTGTTGTTCATTCTACCCTAGATTCATGGGGGTTCTCTAGCCTGAGCTCTTTCATTATGTCCCCAGATTTGTATATTGCTTTTTCCCCCTTGCCCCAACAATGGAGGGCAGAGAACTCACTTGCAGTCAGGAGGAAGGACATGTACAGATCATCAGGTACCAGAGGGTCCTTCATCTCATAAAAAAACTCCTTGAGGAGTTCGGCCACATCATTGACATTCACACTGTCATCCAGCACAATATCCAGGCCTTTGTCAAATAACTCACGGAGCTAAAAGAGGGGAGAGAAGATGTGAAATGTCTTCCTTGCCCATCACAGGCTGGGTCTAGACAGTTCTTCAAGTGACAGGCTTCAGTAAAGATAGCTGGCTATATAGTATATCTAAGGGTCTATAAAGAAGACCTTAGCCCTCATCCTCCCACACACTGTCAATCATGACACTACCTATGTGAATGAGAGAGCGCTTATTTCTATCTTTCTTTTCTTACCTAAAGAACAAACATGTAAATACAGTCACTTTACCTCAAGCACCCTCCGCAGAGAGTACTCAATGGTGAAAATCCCCACGGAGGTTAAGCCTGAAAGAAAAGACCAGAGAACCTGAGCATCTATGACCCCTGTTCCACAATTATGTTTCTTTTGTTCGCCCTAAGCATCTGCATCCCAACTTTCAGTGGAACTATCAGGGGAATGCTACTCAAGCCTTCCATCCCACAACTCCTTTCTCTCCCTTTCTAGAACATTCTTCCTTTTTTTTCTTTAGTTTCCTCCTCCCTGGATTTAACCATTTGTGGTTTCCTTACCATGTTTCTCAATGAATTTGCAGCAAGTCTCAACAATCTGAGGGATTTGCTCAGCAATTGGGTTGAGGCTCATCTTCCTTTTGGATCCCAGAAGTCGCTGCCCAATAGGCAATGAAAACTGCGAGAGCTGCAGGATGTCCAGCAGCAGGGCTCCATTCTCCAGTTCAGCTGCGCTATCCACAGAAATTGCACCCTGTGGGAAAATCCAAACTATCTTAAAATGGAGGAAAAGGAGCAATCGCTGGGAATTTCCTAAGTGCTGAGCTCTACATCTCTCTGTGGTAAGACAAGCCACACCCTTTTTATTTCTCCTCAGCCCCCACACCATAAAGACACAGAGGCCTTGACCCCTTTCCACAGAGGATCCCTGCCTGAAACCTCTAAGACTGAACTCACTCGACGCCCACGGCGAGTGAACTCTCTGGGCAGGGTGGGCTCATTCCTCCTGCGACTGAAAAAGCGTCTCATGCGTCCAAACATTCTTTGCACCACGTTTCCCCGACGACGAGGACCAGTGGAACCGTTGATGTCTTCAACCTGCATCGTGGCTGTCAGTTCACGTTGCTTGCGGCGGGTAAGTTCGTTCACCAGTACCTCTTCCAGGCTGATGCCAAAGACCTTGAGTGATGCAGCTGGGAAAGAATGAGAAATTTCAAAGACCTGCAGCACTGCCCTCAGCCCCCCTCCCTGGGGAGCGAGACCCTGAATTGGTTACGTAAAAATGACTTGATGGCACTCAACTACCAGAAGTGGCTCAAGGTTTCATCCCTGCCTACGTCTTGCCAGTGCAGGACCACCTTGAAGCAATCAGCCAGATTTCTTCAAATTGATCTGCCTGTGGTGTGTCCACCGGGAACCTAAGACAGGTCTGAGAGGACTACCAAAAAAACACAGCAGCTATTCCTCCATTTCCTGTTATAAACCCCTGGGGGGGGGGATCTGGGAGGGAGAGCGAAGAGTCTTCAGGGGCAATAAGCATTGGCCATATCCAGTATTCAGAGAGAGAGAGAGAAAGAGAGAGAGAGAGAGAGAGAGAGAGAGAGAGAGAGAGAGAGAGAGAGAGAGAGATAGCGCCTCTTACCCCTGTCTTGTCCTCTCAGCATCAAAAACCACCTCTCCAAGGTGTTTGGACGGTCAGTGGGTAGAGCTATGGAAGGAAAAAAGAAAAAGGCATATGTATTCACATACATATAGGAAGTGCGATGTAACTAAAACACTGCATTGATATGTAGCCACGGGAGGGGGAGGGGGAGCTCTGCCCAGCCCAAAAACAGTGTTTGCTTTTGCCCAGCCTCAGTTTCCCTATCTGACAACAAGACTAGCCCCACCTAGCACGTGCAAGGTTCCAGGAATTTAGCCTAAGCAGTTTAATGCGCCAGACGCATCTTACTATGAACCAGTAATTGCTCAGCACACTTAAAACATAAATTCAAAAGCTCAGAGGCGCTCTGATCATGCAACAGGCGAGGGGAGGGGCTCTGCCTGCAGCGTCACCACGAGTGAGGGTCGCCAAGTTACTGCGGAAGTGCTCACGCGCGTTTTTGCCTTTGCTCCCTCTGCTGCGGTGAGAGAATCGGCGACACCTGGCTGTGTCTCGGTGCCAAATCCCGCAGTGGTGACTGCCAGCGGGGTCTCCTCCCTCTTTGCACTCAGTTCAGGCTGCACCAGGGGTGCGCGCCTGGTGGTCCTGGCTCCTTCCCTTGCACTTCCCAGTCTTAAGAGAGCGCCCCTCTAGCAGAGCTAACATCCCCCACCTCCACCTCCCGTAGAGCCCCCAGCCAAATTTGTGCGCATACCCCTGAGGTCTCCCGGAGCGCTGAAACCGGTCCTGTGCCTGGTCCCCCCGCAGCCAGCAGGGCTGGGCTGCGCTCGGAGCGCACCTCCCACAGCCAAATCTCAAGCCCGCACTGGTAGCCCGCTCTTTGCTCCGGTTGGCGCGTCTCTCTCCTTCTTTCTCGCTGTCTCTATCTCTCTCAACCGCGCAGTCTCTTTCTGTCCCAGTCCTCTTATAAAGTGTCCCTTTGAGCCCTGGACCCTCTTTGCCGGATTCTCCCACTACACGTGGTGAGCTTGTTCTTCACCTGTCCTCGGTCCTACCTGGCTTACCATTCCCTCAAAACCCCAGGCTTCGACTCAACTCAACTAATCTTTTGCCTTTTCTGAAATTTAACAAACAGTATTCAACTCCTGCTTCTTCCGTTCCCAGGGCACCAGGAGATTGGTCCGGTTCTGAGATCCCCTCTTAGCCTCCTAGACTTTCAATCTGCCCCATTCCGGAAGCCCGGGGGTCTACTCGCCCAAAGGCGAGGACGCCACACTCCGGGTATAGCTCACCTCTGTCCGGCTTGAATTCAGCGAGGAAATGTCTGGCCACGAGTTCGTGGTAAGCAGTCTCTTGCAGCTTCAGGCGCTCCAGCTCAGAGAGGCTGTGAATGGATACCATGTCCATCCTGCTGTCTGGGTTCTGTCCTGGGGCTCCTCCCAGGACGCTCACTAAAAAAATGAAGGCAGACAACAACAGCAAAAGGGAGATGATTATGGGACATCGTGTCCCTACTGCCTTTAGAAAAGGAATGCAGCCACCCATTCTGGAATAGGATGATTATCAAGACTGCATCATCCAACTGTCACTGACTGGACCTGGTGGAAGGAACTATAGGGAGGGGGGTAAAGAGGGAGGGAGAACTGGGAGGCGGCTTCACCCTCAAGCTGAGCTGCCTCTGTGTTGAATATTCAGGGGCAAAGAAAAGAAAACCAACTTAAAAAAAAAACCCAGCTCTGAGTAGATAGTCCAGAAAAGAGAGAGAGAGAAACTAACAAAAATTAAAGAAAATAGTTTTTTAAAAATAAGCAACCTTATATATATATTTTAAAAAGCAGTTTGATACAACAATAAGACATAATATTTTCTATTAATTAATTACAACACTGATAGATTTTTTTTTCTTGTCTTTCATGATGATGCTCTAAGCTATCTGGGTTAGGTAAAAAGGAGGCATCTATCCAAGATAATGAACACTGTAAATTTAAATAACTCTTTCAGAAGACAAGCTGGACACATGGGTCTGGAGCCAAAATTTGTCCCCAGGCCTTTTGACCCAGTAATTCCCCTTCTAGGAATCTATCTTAATGAAATCTTGCTACAAACAGGAAACATCATATACAAATGAACCATCCACTAAAAAGAAAGAAGGGAAGAAAGAAAAGAAAAAGCTAGCCCAGAAATAAGATTACTTATATAATTATGTAATAACTAATATGGAAAATGATGTAACCATACATGTATGTTTATAAAGAGGTTTTCAACAATAAAAACAAAGTACAGAAATTATGATTGCATCTATGTAAAGAAAACATGCATAAAACATTGAAAGAAACACACCAAAATTCTAACAGATAGTCTTTAGTGGCAGGATTTTGTTTGTTGGTAGTTTTTCTCATTTTTTTTAAACCTTATTATATTGCATTTCTTGGGGGGGGAAAGTCAACTTTTATGAAAACAAACTTCATCTCTAGACTATTCCTAGTGAGACTCCATACAAAATTAGTAATCACAGTGAGGTATGTCTTAATATCAGCAAAGGTGTTTTATATGGCCTTTCTCCATAGCCCTATATGATACTGTGCTCAGGCTGCACATCCCTCAATGGATACCTCCCTGGACCCCACATAAACAACTTTTATCACATCCTCTGATACTCTCCATGTTTCAGCAACTCATTAAAAGAAAAAAAGAAATCTGCATTAAAGAGAAACCTGTATTAATTGTCCACTTTAAACCAGATACTAAATATTCAGGGGGTGAACAAGTGAATACTGCTCCTTTCATAGAAGATTCAATAATGCAGTGAAGGACATACTCAGGTTAGCAACTGTTTGCAAAATCTTTTGGTATGTCAGCTGGCAAAGGTATAAAGAAAAAGTACTATGAGAACAGACAGGAGAAAATATCTAAATCTGCCTGGAGATGGTGGGGGGGCAGAGAGAAAGAGACAGAGAGATAATAGCTTGGGCAAAGGAAAAGAAATGGAAGAAAGATTGTTATCTAGTTAAAGCAATATGCAGAAGTTGGGAGAAGATAAATCATGAAAGGCCCCATAACACCATATTTAAGAGATAGACTTTTTTTTCTCTAGGCAATGGGGCACTACTATAGGGGTTTAGGCAGGGAGTGACAGAGTCATAGCTGTACCTTTGTAAAACAGAGAGAGAGAGAGAGAGAGAGAGAGAGAGAGAGAGAGAGAGAGAGAGGAGAGAGACAGAGAGACAGAGAGAGAAAAAGAGACAGAGAGAGACAGAGAGACAGAGACAGAGAGAGAGACAGAGAGAGACAGAGAGTGACAGAGAGAGACAGGGAGAGACAGAGAGAGACAGAGAGACAGAGACAGAGACAGAGAAACAGAGAGAGACAGAGAGACAGAGAGCCATGAAAAAAAATCCTGCTTTGAGTAGCAAACCTGAAGCAGGTACATCAGCTAAGGGGCAAAGGGCTGGTGACATATGTCAGAGATGCTGCATGGAAATAGCAAGGCTTAGGGCTAAATTAATTTTGTTTATGGCAGAGAAAATAATTTGGAACATGGAAAACTAAGGCTTTTGACAGAAAGAAACAATCCTATACCATTTTTCTAAGCTTTACTCTAATGAAGGTTTACAAATATGTTCTATATTTTATTCTAAGAGGGGCTTAAAATTCAAAGATCAGTAATATAGGCTGTAACAGATAAAGATGAAGCTGAGATGAAAGCCCATAGATTCTAAAATTCCTTCAACTGCAAAGCACATACCCTGAACCCAAAGTGAACACCAAAGCTGGACCACCAAATAACCATGACGTAACCACTTTAACCAAAGGCATATATGCATTTAAGTACAGTTTCATACTAAACTTATAGCAAACTCTACTTACAATAACAAATCTAAAATCCATCAATGAGTGTCTCATCTTGATACCCAGTCTAGTTTTGGCTTAAAATTTCTAACATTACAGTCCCCTTCCCCTTATCCCAATCCAAACATCTTTGTACCTGACTTGGAGTTTCAGCTCTCTCTTCTTGTAGCTTACCAAAGCTGTTCACCCAGAGAACAGAGCTGCTTCTCTCCCCAAAAACACAGGATGGAAATAAATCCCTCCCCTCCTCAAAAAAAAAAGGTAAGAACAAACAGTGAAACCTCAAATCAGCAGCAGCCCAAAAGGGAGAGGGAGAGAGAGAGAGGGGAAGGGAGAGAGAGTGAAGAGCTTTTGAGAGATGAGTCAGCCTAGATGCTTACAATTCCGAGGGAAATCAAAGGCCTTACAATAAACCGTTTGTCATTGCCTCCCTGCTTGAACATACAGGGCTGAACTTAACAACAGTCATAGGCTGCAGTACTGCCAACAAAATTGACTCCATCTTGCATACCTTCAACGCTCTCGGATCACCAGCAGGCCCCAAGACTACAGCAGAGCTAGGAAGGTTAGAATGCCCAAGGAACAGCAAATAAGGAGTACAAGGAAATAAACAGGATTCAACAGCAAGAGACAGGAATAAAACAAATTCTTTAGATTTAGCCAACCTATTTGTTCTCAGGCCTAATTTTCCAAGCTGGACACAAAAGAAGGCTCACCGCAGGGAACAAAATGCCAAGAGACCTCTCTTGCTTCAGTGTCCTCCCCTCCCCCCCACCCTTCAGCATGCTGTAGCACTAGCTTGAAATGACTATGTGATCAAAAAGATACCCAAGAAGGGAGGTGAAAGCAAACCAGCTGAATTTTGATCTAGAATTCAAGGTATTTGCAAAACTAATTTCTTTACATAAACACATGCAGTGGGGAAAAAGTTAGAACCAAAGCCAAGCTTTATTATTTCTTAGCTATATAAGCATAAGAAAACCAGTTGATTCTGAGTCTTGGTGACCCAGTCTGTAGCACTGCCTTTTTTTTTTTTAAATAAACATGTAATATCAAAGATTCTTTTCAGAGGGCCCAAACCCATCTGAAACTATCAGACTGCAAAAGTGATTACATAAAATAGGGATTGGTATCAATGCATTGATTAATCTACTATGTTCAATCTCTACTAAGTTTGAATTAAATTAGCACAGATGAAGATATCTGGGGATCTATTAGGAAAAGCTCTGTCTTTGTCACTCTTCAATTTCAAGCATTTTTAATCATCTTACAAGAGTCAGAAAAACTAACTGCATAATTAAATATTTCAAATGCTGTTATTCAGATTAGTATAAAGCAAATATATCCACAAATATATTTCTCTTTCAAACCATCCAGTTTTTCCATGTTGCCAGCAAAAAAAAAAAAAAAAAAAAAAAAAACAAATATATTATTTAGATCAACAAAGGAGCTCAGAAACGAGTAGATCACAATCAGGAGAATCTGAACAAAGGGCAGTATTGAGCAGTGCAGAGGGGATGAGCACTCTTGGGTGGCATCAAGTCTATTCTCCATGTCCTCCTGAAATGCATGGCACAGATGGGGAAACAAATTAACTTTAGAAAGGTCAACCACTTGAACATGGAGAGGACAGAAATGTTCTGAGCTAACCATAAATCCACAGCCTTCACAATGTGAAGACCTAATTTACTCCATTGCTCCCATTAAATAGTTAGGATTCGTCTAACTCTCACCAGTAAACATGGATGAAAAAAAAAAAAAACAGGGACCATTCTGATGCTGTGGTTGGAATCTCTATTAATTAGGCACCTTGTGGCATCATTAGAATTTTACTCCAAGCCACTGAAAGCTCCTTGGTGTTTAAGAAATTGATAGTGTGAGGGGCTGGGTGCACAGAAGGTATCACATCTACATCATTCAAATGTATACAGACAGTGACGATGCGTGTGTAAAGACATCCCCATTAATACATCACAACCTGGGAAAGAGATACAGGGCTCTAGCTGAACACATCTGGGCACCAATTTGGTCTGCTGACACATTACCTCATTCATCTCGAGCATTAATGAGTTAGCCTTTAAGTTGTTATCTCATAACCTCCATTTCAGCAAAGGCTGCAGATGCAGTGAACAAAATGACTCATTTTAGCCTGTGCAGTGGTGATGCCCCAAGATAATTAAATCTGGGGACAGCATTCTTTAGTCCCTGCAGTCATCCCATCATACCACGACAGGGGCTCATAAACCAGAGGTAGTACTATTAAAATATCTCAAGAAATGCCCTGGGTCTAAAATTCTCTTCCAAGAACATTGTACTGTGAGGATCGGAGTTAAACTTAACTATCACATTGTCCAAAACCTCTTCTGCATTTCAGGAAACTGAGGCTCAGAGAGAAACAGGGAATTTTTTTCAAGGCAACACAGCAATTTAATAAGAAACTGGACACGAGCCCATTTCTCAGTATCAGGGCACTTTCTACTACAGCATCTACAGATTCTCTCAATAGCTGCAAGATTTTTGCATTGCTAGATAATGAACTCAGAAGAATTCATACATAATAAAGTCTAATTCCATAAATCCAGAGGAAATCATATAGAAGGCA